GAATCCTATCATTAAGTATATAAACAATCCAGTATGGTGATCTTATGTTTACTTGCATCTGACTGACAAGGGGAAAAAAAGAGAAGAGTACTAATAAACTTAGCCTAGACGGTAAAATATATCAAAACAAGGGTCTATGTAAGAACAAACAGAAATCTGTGGTGTTAAAAGGCTGGAGGCAGCCGGGTGCAGTGGCTCATGCCTCTAATCCCAGCCCTTTGGGAAGCTGAGGCAGGAGGATAGCTTGAGGCCAGGAATTTGAGACCAGCCTGGGCAACATAGCAAGACTTTGTTTCTTCAGTTACTATGGCTATTCCCAACAACAAAAAGTTTGGAATAGCTGTAATACTTATCTGGGATATATCTATTATGTAGGAATTAGTATCTATACTTTTCTTATGCCAGGCACTTAGCTGCCCCACCAAAAGGTCTTTCACTGACATAATAAAGAGGCAGGATTTGAATTCAGACAGATCTGGCTCTTAAATACTAGTCCATTTCACTGCACCATGCTACCTCCCACAACTAGGATGGGAAAAGACATTGACAATTGTGAAAAGCCTGGAATGCACGAACTGATCAGTTTAAGAGGGTTCGATGCATACACCTCCTACACAATGTTATGAAACTGTCCCAAATATTTAGGAGGAACTGAGCGTTTACAGACACTAGAATTAGCTTTCAAACTAGGCCAAAAACATGTCGTTTAACATACAAGTGCTCAAAATTAAATTGTACTTCTGCCCTCAGAAAACCCTAGTTGATAGCTTGGGTGTTTCTTATCATCTTTATTAGCTGGGGTTACGAAATTTAAATGGGTGATGTTGCTGAAACACTTTTCTCTAACACTTTCCCATGGGGAGTTAGAGGGAGGCTGCATGATTTGGCCGGGTTTTGTTCATCACAAATTAGGTCAACAGCCCAATACCAAAAGAAAGCACCATTAATGAAATGACATGTTTCAAGGGCTTTCCAAAATCAGTCCACCGGGTTTTGGCAAGCTTCAGCAAGGATGGAGAGGGGTAAGGGGCAGCCAGGCCTTAATGGCCTTCTAAACTTGGGTCCTGTATCTGACAAGGTTTCCAACGGCTCAGATGAACAAAACTGACTTTGCCGTTACTGCTGTTATGCAATTAAAGAGGCCAAATGCTGAAATAAAAATCTTACTTAACAACAAGGATTTACAATAACAAAAAATTATCCTGAGCTTTTTCTTCAGTGATGCAGCCACAGAAAGATTGAGGATGAGAGAAAAAAAAAATCAACATTAGGAAACAATGTTGATTTCCTTTGTTCTAAAAATAATCAAGTAGCTTATTTTTAGCCAAAATGCAATATAGCAATGAATCAATACTTTGTGAAATGTTTAACACTGATATCCAATCTTTTAATGTTACCCTTTTAAGATTATTTCAACAA